GTGTTGGCCCTGACCCCAGGTCTCCGAACTTCTCTCTTCCTTGTGGTCATCACATGACCACAGCTGATTTCACATAAGAAGGTGCCTGGGCCTCCTCGCCTGCTATCTGCCACACGGAAGATGCTTGGTTCATATTTGCTTTTCCTTCTCTTGTGGCCTGGACAATTACCTGTAAGCACCAATAAAGGTCTGAACCCTTTTGGGCCCCTGGTATCTTTATCCCCTTAGATCCTATAAACACAGATTCTAAAAACAAGGTAAAATATTTGCTGATGGTTTAAGACTCCTTCCTGAGCTCACTTCTGTTTCAATTTTTGCTTCCCATCTCCTCCTGGCATCCTGTTGTCATCTACAACTTGCAGCTGAGGAAGCCCAAGAACCAACTTCTGCCCATTAGTGATCCACACTGGCATGAGTTATTCCTGTTCTGGACTTTGTTGTCTGTCCACTTAATTGCCGTTGTTTTTTATTGCCCTCATTCTTTTAGCATCCTATGTGGGTCTTAGAATTTATTGATTAGTAGGTAAATGAACCGAGTCCAAGAAATTTGGAAGGAACTGATCTTGCAGATAAAGGAATTGAGGCTTAAAAAGATCACATAGCCTGTGGCCCCACCAGGTGACACAGTTCAGGGTCTAACAGACCACAGTGCCAGAAGCCACATGGCCAACTGCAGGCAGGATCCCCAGGTTGGCCTGAAAATACGCCAGGCATGAGCACAGGAGCCCAAGATCCTGAGGAGCTGAAGGACTGAGAAAAGGGGATTGTACTGTGACAATACCTTTTGAGGGTTCTTCTTTCTTGTGCCTGTGCATGTGCTCTCTATAATTGGAAAAAAACAAACAAAACAAAAACAGTTAATTAAAGTAGTAGAGGCTAGATTAGAATGCTGGGGCCTATATGCCCTGTTCAACTCAACTGCCTTTCCCGTTTCTTTCTTTCTTTCTTTTTTTTTTTTTGAGACAGTGAGAAATCACACCCTGGGGGGGGTGACCACCTGGCAATCCTTCTCCATTCTCCTCTTGGGATCTTGGGCACACACGCATGCACACATGCCCAGCTTGAGTTTTAAGTCACCGGATCCAGGACGCGAACCGCAGTTGACTACAAGGGAATCCAGTGACATAGCCATTACGCTAACTGCTGGTTCCGCCTTTCCTGTTTCTGAGACTCACTGGACCTAGAGTCAGTAGCACTTTGTTTAATTTTGAGTTCTGTGGTGATAATAGAGGCAGAGTGGGAGATAGAGATACTGGGTTGGAGTTAGCACTCAGCGGCTGCCCTACTTTCTAACTCTGTGCCTTCTGGCAAATCGCTTGCCTTTGTGTACTTTTTTCTTTCTTTTCTTTCTCCTTTCTTTCTCTCTTTCTCTCTTTCTTTCTTCCTTCCTTCCTTCCTTCCTTCCCTCCCTCCCTTTCTTTCTTGCTTGCTTTCTTGCTTTCTTTCTTTCTTTTTCTTATCTGTGATAAGGCATGCATGCTCACTAGAGAGACATACAGAGAGAAAGAGGGGAAAAGTGAGAAAGTACCCTTCAGGGGGGATGGCCATGCCCTTCTCCTCCCTCTCCTCTTGGGATTTGGACACCCTCCACACAAACCCAGTGTGTCTTTCAAGTCTCTGAGTACAGGACAAGAACCGTGCAGTTGACCATATAGGATCCACCACACCACTGGCTGGCCATACTTCTGCTTTTTACCCACAAAGTGAGGATAATAAAAACTGGCTTTTCACTTTCTAATACAGGCCTTGGTTGCCACTGTACATGACATTCAACTGTACTATTGCAAAATCTAAGAACATATATTTTCAAGTGCTTTGTAAATCCTGTTGAGCATTAATAGAATAAGAGAAAACACACTTCTGTTAAAGTTCTCCTGATCCTAACAGTGCCTTTCTCTGTACTGAAGGCATGGCCAGGCTATAGACAGCAGGGTAGACATGGGGATGGAGGTGTTGTTGGAATATATGAGAGAGCATCTCTAAGGAGATCCATGTAGATGCCCATGGTATAGAAAAATATCACATGCTGAACTTGACAAATGGACTGTGGATTTGCTCACAAGGTTACAGGTGGGTCCAGCCATGGTAGCACAAGTGGTGGAGTGCCACTGGGCAATGTTGGAGCCATGTGGAAGACCATGGTTTGAAACTTAGGTGGACTGAAACATGCCAGGTGTGATCCTGGCTGGCTGGAGAGCTGGGGGTCTTGGGAGTAATCACTCCATGATGAGACCATCTTTCTCTCTTCTCTTTCTCTATCATGAAAGAGATAAAATGAGTACATTTAGTAACCCGTGAGGACCGATAATGTCTGGAACATGTTCTCTTGGATGTGAGCTACCTGAAGTTTGGGTAACTATACCAAAATATTACTCAAAGTACTTTTTTTAGTGTCAGGAGACCATGAACCTGTTTTCACATAGGTCACACATGCATCCCAACCAAGGTTCACTATCTTTTACTGTAATTATATTAAAAAATTTAAAACTATGGAGCCAGCAGATGGTGTGGTAGTTGGTGTGCATGGCCCACTGTGGTTCAAGTCTTGGACCTGGCAGCTTGAAAATCACACTGGATGTGTGTGCATGTGTGCCCAAGATCCTGGGAAGAGAATGGAGGAGAAGGGATTGAAGTGTGACCATCCCCCTAGGAAGTGATTTCTCACTTTCCCTCTCCCTGTCTCCCTCTGTCTTTCTCTCCAGGAAGCCCATGTGCCCTATGGCAAAAGCCTTAAAAAAATAATCAGAACGAGGCAGTGGGTGCTGAGGGAAAGGGATGTTGATGGTGCATAATAAAGAATTGGTGTGGAATGAAAGGCAGGATTTCAATCTTTCAGGCCAGGAGATAAGAAAAGGGTAAGGAAGTCTACCGTGGGCATTCTTTTAAGAATAGGAATGGTTGGTTTGACTCAACTCAAAAGAGGAGGGATGGACAAAGACGACTACTTCTTGTCTCTTCCAGCTCTCTTAATCTTGATCAAATGAACAGAATAGTCCTGTACTGAATGAATGGGCCAACTTACTAGTTTCCTCAAGGATGAGGATGACAGAGGATACTTTAAAGACTAGAGAGAAAACTCCAGAGTCAACTTGCCTTACCTCTTCCCCTCAACCCCCACATTTTCACAATTTGTACCTTAAAAAAATCTGTATATATATATATATATATATATATTAAATGACAGAACTCAGTGAAAAACTTCCAAAAATACCAGAATAAATGTAATAAAAATTGAGTACTCTCCTCTATTTCTCACTGCCCTCTCCAGTCCTATGCCCCCTCCATGGAGGGAATTGCATCTGGGGGGGTTGTCCTCCAGGAGTTTTTCACCCCATATATATATATAGACACGTCACATTATCATAATTTTCTAATGTTAGCAATAGTTGCTATATATTTTTTCATGCCAATACATTCATTCTTCTTTTAAAGCAAAAATAAATCTTCTGGGGCCAGCAGGTGGCGTGGTGGTTAAGGTGCTGGACACTCCCACATGGCCGACCATGGTTCGAGTCCTGGATCTGATAGCTCGCTTTCTGACTTTCCCTCTTCTCTCTCTCTCTCCCTCTCTCTCTCTCTGTTTCTCTCTGGTCAAATTAAAATAAATGAATGAATAAATAAAATTGAACAGATGATTCTTAAAAAAATCTTCTATTGAAATGATTTATATCAAACATCAATTACTCATAATTACATAGCAGAGATAAAAACTACTCATTTTAGTACATAAAGAAAGACAGACACTTTGGCATAATTTATAATGATTCATTTTTTATTATTACCTCACTTCTCTACAATATGCTCCCAGTCTATGGATGTTACAGAATTTCCCACCCTGATGCTCCACGTTCAGCTTTTGCAAATTCAATTCTCTCTTTCTGATTCTTTGTAAGAAGAAAACACATCTTCAGTTTTAGTTTTGGATAGTTTTTCTTCTTTCTTTATTTAAAAAAAGAATTATTAATTAAATTAATTTATTATTATTATTTTTTAAATTTGCTGTAGGGCACATGTGCTCACCAGTGAGAGAGAGAGAAATTGAGAAAATAAGCTGCCAGGTTCAGGACTCAAACTGTAGTTGGCCATGTGGGAGTCCAGTGCCTTAACCACCATACTACCTGCTTGCCCCAGTTTTTGTTATTCTTGATTTCAACGACTGTTTTTATTTCATCAGAAGAAAGTTTCTCTTTTTAAAAACATCCTGTAAGTCTTAATGCTGTCTTCATCTTGGGCCTTTAAGAGTATTTTGGAAACAGCTAGCAGTTTTACTGACATTTTATGTAGAAAACAAATTTATTTCCCTAGGCCATGCTTTCTATTATCAGTTAATCCACAAGACTGCGTGAACATCAGTTATCTACTCAGCACTCTTTGGGTGTTTGGAGGGTACAGTATAATATAAGACATGATCTCGTCCTTATGGAGCGTATAATCTAGTAAGGGAAAATAAAAGAAGCTGCAAGAAATACAGAAAAGATTACAATGATGTCTTGGCTCTGAAGAATATGCTGGCAGGTATGTTAAACCCCAACTTGATTTCACAACCTTAGACTTATTTTTTAAAATAGATCCTTAAAAAAGCAGACCCCATACTCTGGTACAAATATAGTTATCTAAAAAGGGGGTCAAACATTTTGTTTTTATTAACATTTTAAATATATTTCAATTGAACAGTTATTAAATTAAAAATACAAAATATACAGTTTCTCTCCTATTTCCTGTCTCATACTACAATTTTCTTCTATCTATCTTTAATCTATTTTCTATTAACAGCTTAGGAACTCTCTTTTACCTAAGGTTTAGCTTTTCCCCCTAATCTAAAGCAAACAATATTTTACCCTGATACATGCTATCAGCTTTCTTTCCCTCCTTCAACCCACACTGAAA